AGTCAAAGAGTTTCAACTATTTTTCCAATATTTAAGTTGAGTTTGGAGAGAAAATTCTAAATCAACTTAAATGTATGTAGTATGAGATTGAGGTGTTTTGACTATGGCTTAAAGTTTCGTTTCGGAGCTATGTTTCGATTGTTTGAAAAATAGAAATGTTTCGAAAATATTTTAAAAACGTAATGGAAACCTTATATTTTTATGAAAACGAATGGACACCTTTAAAAGAAAGAGTTTATGTGTTAATCAAGTTCTTAATTCTTGTTTGTAACAATCAAATCTATTAGTTGGCAATCGGAGAATCTACTTTACAAGCAATTTTTTGTGGTACCACTTGAATTTTCCCTTGAAGTTCTATAATCTTTATTGAACCTGAGTTTTAACCTTAGAATTGAATTTAAAGGAAAATAGAGTTTTAATCTGAATTGTGTAACATAAAATCAATCCGAATTTAAAATATCTATAAAAGCATTACTCATATCGAAGATTGTATTGTTTGGATTAAGCTCCAATTGATTTCTCAATCAATTTAATCCGTTCAAGTTACACAACACTAATCATACGGGCTTGTTATCTCTTAAAAACATAATTTCATGAATTTCAACTTCAAATGATTGTTTTTAATATAATTTAGAACTTAAAAAATATTTCACATGTTACCCACCCTCATCACACGTACCACACCACCATCACCACCGCTTTTCCCCACCACTCATCACACCGTCGCTCAAAAGCACTCGTTGTTGCTCACCACAACCATCGTTACCACCTACCACCACAACCCATCACTGACATCGCCACCACCACCATTGCCAACCATATCATCGTCACTCACTACCACTATCGTTGTGACTCATAATTGCTACTACCACGTATTGTCATCCAAAACACACCACCGTTATTATTGTTGCCACCCATGGTTGCCACCATCACCATGATCGTCACCATCACCATATCTCACCACCTGTATTATCGCTCACTCCCACTATAATTAATACTTAAATTCATTTATTTCTCCTATATATTTGTGATTTGATTTTGGGTGTGAATATAAATATAATTATTATTGATCATTTTTTTTATTATTCTGTGCCTTTAGATACTGTGAATAACTAATACATATATATATTGTGTAAATTTTGATAAGGTAAAGTGACAACATGCTTGTATTTTAAAGCAATACTCACTTTCTAATAGTTGTTTGAATAAAGGTTAATAATGGGGTTTGTGACTTTTGCTAACACGCGCCGTGGTTGATGATTTTAATCCACNTGAAAATCGGATTGAAAGCGCCATCCCCGCTAGAAACGTTGAAATGGTGATTGCAATGGCATTGACTACTCAATCGAATCATATCTAATTTACCAAATTCTTATTTCCACTTGACTTTTGACACCCAACTGCAACATGGATTGTATATCACAAAAAAAAAAAAANACATGCAACTGAAAAACAATAAAGTTATGCATCCCAAATGATAAGACGAAATTTTACGTATTAAATGTTTAGTGAAAATTAGTAGGATTTACTAATTCAATTATCTACGCTAATTTTCTTTTTTTGGGAGAAAACACCTACACTGATTTGGGGGCTATGCTTGTCTATTCTATCAAGGATGGTTNAAAGGTTTAGGCATGCCATAACAACATAGTAAACGGCACTCAATGTACGAGATTATCTTTATTAAGTGAAAATAAAACAACTACAATGCACCAAATGGCTCTTCTAAACATGTTTATAGCAAGGGCAGTNAAAAAAACACATCTCAAGGGTATAGAGGGGTTAAGATTCAAAATTTATTGATAAATATAATATCAAGTGGAGTGACGCAGTGCAATTTCTTTCAATATATTTTCTCTTTCTCTAAATACATGTTTTCTTCATTTTNCAAACAAAATTTACCATTTCATCATTTTTCCAATGCATGAGCATTTGTATACTTATTAGTGAAAATGTGAAAGATTTTTTTTTCCCTTCACACTTACCTCCCTTTATTCAATTTTTTTTCAGTAAATCTTATTTTATTCAAAAAATATTTTTATTTTAAGAATTCAAAATAAATTGAATTGTTGACATGATTAGATATTTGTCATTCAAAAATAAAAAATAAAAAAAATTCAAGGATCCTTCAATTAGTTTAAAATTGGAGAGGAGTCTAACCCCACACAAATGACATGAGTATTTTTTGACAATAATAGATTTAAGTCGACTCCTTCTAGAGTCCAAAACTCTCTGGACTCACAGAAGTCAACCCAAGCCTCTTATCCAAATAGTATTCATTGAGCTTGAAATTGGACCGCGGCCCCCGCCCCAGTTCCGGAGAGACTCAACACTAACGAGTTCGGTATAGGTATCAACCCGATATTAACGAGCTTTATATAAGTATCAGCTCAAAAAATGGGAGCACGACACGATGTCAGTCTGCAAAAACTGCAACATGACATGTGGATAGGAGATGAGGGGATACTATTTGACGACTCTGAAGAACGAAAATCTACTGGTAGTGGAGATAGATCACGTACTACAGCTGACAAGTAGTGGGTGTAGAAAGGCGTCAGAGACCCCAATTATAGGACCAAGACAATCACAGAGGGAACCACGTAATCAACAAAAAAAGGATCAACACAAAACCCTAACGACCATATGTTTAAATAACTAACGATGTTACAGGGCAAGATGCGAATTCAGAAAAACTATCCAGTAGTAACCTAGGCAATATCCAATAAAAGGCTTCAAGCCAAAAGCATTGTAGAAACAATCTTCTTCCTCAAGTAATACAATTTTCAAGGAGCAAGTGGTTCTTTTACAGTAGACGTAACTTTAGTCATTTGGCTAGAATGAGCCACTCACACTGTTGTCTTTGTTTTGCATCTTACACATAACACACACTCTCTGGGCCATATCTCAGGCAATTCTGTAGTCCGGTCCAATCAATTTTGAACACCATCACTTTACGTAAAAGTTTAATTCATTTTCGACCAATATCATCCTGGAAATAACATTAATTTCCTCCTCTGAATTGATCTTTCTTTACACCTCCCATTTTTTTATTAATTAAGAGGAATTTGAGCTCCTAAATAAATTGAAGAGATGGGCACTTGCCCATAACCTAAGCTGATGAGCCCTCTTACAACTGTGGTTAAAATGGCTTGAACCATTGCATCATGTCTCTTTGGGGTAGAGTAATGCTAAACTAACAAAAAAAAAACAAAAAACAAAAAACAAGGCCAAAAATAAAGGTAAAATGATATCGTATTTGCTATAATGGTGTTGCTAGTCCCACTTTTATACATTTGAAATTCAAATTTGTCTCATTATGATAACGTTACATTATTTGATCTTAATTTTTTGATCAATGTAGCACTACTCATTATAATATTAATAGATAAATTTTTGTTATTATACTTTCATTTTTTATCCAATAAAAATATGACCTGTAAATTTATTATTATTTTGTTTTGCACTATTATTTTTATAATCAACGACTACATATGCATCAAACCAAGATCTATGATTTTTATTCAATTTCGATATAGAATCTTGTTGTACGCAACACACGTGTATTTAACGAAATCAACAATGCAAGTTAGTGTGCAACTTAAAAAAAATTAATCATTGAGGGTTCAAATTAAAAATACTAAAATATTTCAAGGTGCAACAGGTGTTAGAATCCTAAAATTCCAAAACTTTACCATGTCAAAGTCATATTGGATAAAAAATAAAAATATGATACTAAAAAGGGAAAATTTCAACTACATCCCTTATAATTTGTCATATGTTTAAGGACACCTCATCTATTATCCAAAATATTATTGGCCTCCCTTCTAGTTTATATTTAAACATCATTGACACCCCGTTGTTAAACCACTATTTCTTACNAAATTTTTTTAATTTTTAATTTTTAATTTTTTTAAAAATTAATTTTTAAATTTTTTTAAAAAATATATACATATTTTACCATTGCATTTTTATATGAAATTAATGTATAGATAAGATATATAGATAAATAAAAATGCATCTCAATACAAATAATTAACTTTCCATTCACTTTCCTTTTGCTTTTGGAGGGATTGATTTTAGTAAGTTAGAAGGAAAGTTAATCCATCCATTTTTTCATCATTTCTATTTTTATTTTCTTACAAAATATGATGTTTTATTTATTTTTCTAATTTTTTATTTTTTTAATTTTTTATCTTCTTATTTTTTCATCGTACTAAACTTACGTAAAAACCACCACCATTATTAGCCGCGTACTTTTACTACAACATTTACATTGGTCAATGATTTTTTTAACGGTACAATGTATGTACAAACTATTTTAGTCAGCAGAATAATAAATCAACTGAGTTAACAGGGATACGCCGTGGAAAACAAACAATTTGTGGCCCACAACGTACGACTACTGTTCTTTCCCCCCCCCCTGTAACTTAAGTTTTATTATTATTATTATTATTATTTTTGAGGTGGGTGGATAGGCGGTTGGGGTTGGGGGCTGGAAGGTTAATTTTAATTAGTGCATAAAAGGGACAATGCATAAACAAACCGAAGAAACTGATACATCATGATGGATGCAGTTTAAGTTTGCATCACGTTATAATTTCTACAAAACATTTATTTAGGGTAAAATTTGAAAAATAAATTCTTGTAGGGTGTAAATTAAAAATTCAAAGTTCCATTAAACCCATATACTATCATTTGTTTTACTTACCAAAGGTAAAACGGGGCAAAATATCTAACAAAATGACAAATGTCGAAATACGACGTCGTGAAGTTCACTGTTGGCCCGCGCCATAACTTACCGTTACATTCAAGACTTTGAGGCAAATCTCGTAATTTTGCCGAAAGACAAGGACAGTTGCCACGCGTCACTCCCTTGACGCTCCTCATTGGAAAAACCAAAAAAATAGACGTTAGTGTTACGGCAAAAATTTAGGGGCAAGACTGAAAGAGTCGGGTCTGATTCAAACGGTGACGTGCCCTCATTTATTATTTTCATAAATTCTCTCCCTCCTCCTCCTCCTTAGTCCTTCCCTCTCCCTCTCTGTCTCTATCTATCTCTCTCTCTCTCTCTCTCTCTCTAAGCTTTCTGAAAACATTCATCTCTTACTGCACAGCGTTCAGATTTGAGAGGAACGAAAAGAGCTTCGGAGAGCGTCAAAAGGTCTGTGTTTTGCATTCGAACGATTCATATTCTCTTTTGCCTTTTCCTTTTGTATTTTACTGGTTTTGTATTTGAAGAATGTTAAGTTTAATTGTTTGATCTGAATGTGGCTTGTCCTTAAAGTTACGTATATGTGTCCGTGTGAATGTAGAGTTATATATCTATATATATGGCGATCTATAGAATTACACAGGTATCAATATACGCATATCTATGTTTTAACTGTTTTGTTTGCCTATTGGATCAGAAAATATGGAATTTTAGCTTTTTTTGTTTTTATTTTGCTCTGCTTTTAGTGATTTAATATCTTGATTTGATTTTATGTTCCAAATTTAAATAGCTGACTGCTTGTGACTTGTGAATCTTTGCTTTTCTTTTTCTTATTTTATATGAGGAGGATCTGTGGATATTTATTTTTCATTCTTTTTTCTCCTAATTTTCGTGGCCATTACCAGTTTTTGAGAGGGGAAGGGGAAAGACAGATAGTAACAATTTAAAATATAGTGTTTTGCTAAAAAAAAAAGAAGTAGATCATACTAAACTGTCAATGCAACAGAAGCAAATGATAACTTTGATGATTTCTGCAGGGATTGAAGGATCAAAACCATACTTTTTCTGCGTAATTCGACTCAGAAATATACAATTTATGTGAGGTTAATAGTGTTGGTGCTTCAGTGAAGTGTAGTTATTTTCAATCCATTTAAAGAAGATTAGATGCTTATTCTATCCAACTGATGATTGTAATGGTTGAGGAGTAAGACTTGTTAAGTTTGATGGTAGGAATGGCTGTTGCTGGCTTACATAATGTGTCTGCGCTTGACTCTTCTTTCCTTAGGGAGCCTCAGTCTCCGGTATCAAGGCAGTGGGGTAGTCAAGATAGTCCGAGCACCCAGGCATCCTCTCTCCTGCAGATGTGGCGGGAGCTCGAGGGTGAGCCTGTGGTGCATCATTCACATGTGAGGTTTGAAGAAAGGCCAATGCGTCAAAGGAGTGATGGGTCGAATGTTGACCTTGTGAGCACAGATTGGTCAGAAAGACAAGAGAGTGACAATGGGGAGGGCGGCTTGGAGGATGCCAATGATGTTGACAATGAGAGCAGAATATGTTCGCAAGGGCAAAGGGGATCCCAGAACGAAAATGAAGACAATTGCAGTTATACCTCAGAGCAGTCTGTTGATTTTGGTGAAGTGGAAAGGGATAGGGTGAGGCAAATTTTTCGGGAATGGAGGAACAGTGGTATAAGAGGCCATCCGCAGAATGCTTCTCGTTTGAACAACTGTTCAAGGGTACAGTGGCTTGGTGAAAATGAATGTGCGAGGGTTAGAATTGTAAGAGATTGGGTAGAAAGGACTAGCCAGCAGAGAGGCGTTTGTGGTGGCTGTAGAGAACAAGCTGCTGAAATTGGTGTTCAAATTGATCAAGTTCCTGATGGCTCGTTGGCTAATCATTTTGAACATGGTGCTCGGAGGGCCATCCGTAAATTACACGGCAGACAAGCTCTTCTTGATTTGTTAGCAAGGGCTGAGAGGGAAAGGAAAGGAGAACTACAGGGTTTACAAGAGAGTCGGCCTGTATCAAGTTTTGCTCATCGCAACCGCATTCAGGTTAGTTTTCTCATATGTTTCTTTATTTGTACAATTCTCTTACTTTGTGAGCTCTTTCATCCTTGGTTCCACCATAGTGTGTGATCTCATTCCACGCACACCACAACCTCCACTACCAAAGCTTGATTTGTTTAACCAGTGTTTGTTTCCCTGGCATAATAACATAACCTTTCTATTCAGATGTTCTTGTTCTGGGTGACTATGCAGATAATACCGGATGTAAATTGTAGGAGGCTTACCATGACATTTTTTTGGGATAGTTTGTTTGTATGCAAGTCCAATATAGTTGCATTATAACCGTTATTTTTAGCTGTTTATAAGGCAGTGTCCACTTTTCACCAAGTTTCATTGCATTATCAATGTCAAAGTGAACCCTTAAAGCCGTATACCCAACCTTTGGGTCAGCTGAGCAAATCCTTTAATTTTTCTCAGTTTGCTTTACATAGTCTGAAAGATTGTATTCTTTAGGATTCATGTTAAATGTTTTGATTTCAGGTTTCGTGTTGTCTTTCTCCCTAAAGGGACCCTTGTTTCTTCTCTGGTCCAGGATTACAGAAAAGACTATTGTAGCTGTAACACAGAAAACGTTTTTAGACATGTGTTAAGAAGTATGTCCTTTAGCTGTTTTTTTTATGATTTTACTTGATAATTAAGTAGTTGAAGTAGACCGAAATACTTTGTGTGACCTAAATGGGGATCTTATTTTATACAAGTGCTGTGGTGTGGTATTTATTGTTAGGTATAGCTGTGACAAGATGACCTAGGCTGTTCGAAGACCTGCATTGTTATACAATGTAAATGAGGGGTCGTTTGTTTGGTCTGGTCATCTTGTCACAGCTATTCTGTTGTAGGTTTCTTTAGTATTTTTAGCTTAGAAAGAAATTGAATGGACATAGCCTTCAGTCAAAACAACCTAATGGAGGGCTAAGCCAGTTGGTTGAACTGAAGTAAGTTACATCTCTGGTTCATGGTTCAGGTTCACTTTAGGAAGGCAACCTAAAGGGTTGTGTTTAAATCTATGACATGGCAGCAGTACTCAGGCGTGCCAGACTAAATAAGAGTCCTAGGTTAGCATACTGTAAAACTAGTTGCAAGCGAACAGATAATACTCTGTATAAACTATCGTAAATAAGTCAGCTTATGTGGAAAGATTAGTGGATGGATGCATCACTATAATCATTTCGTTTCCTCTTTGGGAACTTTAGTTAATTAAATGTGCTTTTCTGAAAGGTCTAAGAGGTTTGAGTTTTCTTTTTCTCTCCCAAAATTCTGTGTGTTCTGAGATGGTTGTATTGTACACTATTTGCTATTCTTCTGTTGTGATTTCTGCACCTGAAGAATAATCAGTTTTTGCTTCCATTAATACCATGTTTCTCTTGCAGTCATTACTCAAGGGTAGGTTTTTGCGAAATGGAAGATTGGTCCAGGATGAAAAAACTAAATCAGTGGCTGCAACTGAATTGGGTTTACTGAGGGAGAGGCAGACTGTGTCTGGTTTGAGGTATTTGGTTTTGCATGCATTATACTTTTTGTTCCTTGTTTTCCTTCNAAAAAAAAAAAAAGGTTTAGGCATGCCATAACAACATAGTAAACGGCACTCAATGTACGAGATTATCTTTATTAAGTGAAAATAAAACAACTACAATGCACCAAATGGCTCTTCTAAACATGTTTATAGCAAGGGCAGTAACATGATTGCATGAAATTAAAAAAAAAAAGAAAGAAAACAAATTAGGAAATGTGATTGCCCCCACATCATTTGGCCCATTATTTTCTCCATGTCTTTTTCTCTCTTCAGCCTTAAGGTGTCAGGCATCAAGTGATAGGTGAGAGAAAACATGCCGCACAAGTCAAGAAAATGTCTTAAAATACTCTTCCATTCATTGATTTTTCCCCAAGTATGTCAGTGGTATTTGGAAGCCATTTCAAGGGAAAATGACCTTTAATAGTGACAGGAGGACATAGTGATTGATGTCAGGCACCTATAGTTGATCAAGCCTAAAATATTCAAGCATACAAGAATTTGCAACAAAATAGTTAGGTTTAGCACCTTGTAAAATGGTATTGCTTGAGATCTGCAAATGTTATGTTCTAGGTTCGATACATGAGGAGTAGATTGCTGATTTGTTTCTTGTGCTTTATTAAGACTGAAATTTAGCTATGACTTTGGTCGTCCTTAAAGAGTTCCAACGGTTCTCCAAAGGGCTTCCTCTACAAGTGTAGTTGCTATTATGATCACGTATTGGAAGAGAATTTCACATCTGATCGCCCTTCCTCTACCCTTTTTACACATCTAGGGAGACAAATGCTTAGTATTTATACAAATACACGATTATCTTTCTTCTAATAATCACTGCAGCAATTTATGAAATTCAGAGAACTCATTCTTCTTAAAAGTTGATCCAGTAACACAGTGATGCATGTACATTGGTCATTTTGCATTACAAACATGTCCGAAGAGAAATTTCAAATGGGCCCTTTAAAAATTTATTATAAATATAATTTTAACATACGATTAAATTTTATTTAAAATTTATTATTCTCATTTTTTGTGGTGATTAATTTTTTATATTCACATTTTTTTAGTATATTTTATTCAAATTTTATTCTTTTAATATTTGGATTCATATTTTTACAATTGACATATTCAAATCTCAAAATTCTTGTAAGCAAAACGAGCTGTTAAAACAATAAATGCTATTGAAATCTAATTAATTGACATAATTTGTTGACCTATTTATTTTGACATTTGGATTCACAATAGATCCTATCAAATATTGAAACTTGGTGTTGATCTAATGATTCTTATGAAGCCAAATAATTATGTCAACAAATTATGTCAGATTTTTAGGTCCAAATAATATTACTCTTAATAAAAATAGATCAATAATACATGATAAATAGAGATTGTATAAATTCACTCTTTATTCATCTTTTAAATTGTCTAATAAATTATACCTTCACAAGAAAATAGTGAATTAAATAATTATATTATAAAAATATAAAAAATAATTTATTGATGTTTATACATGTATACACGTATCATGAAAAAGAAAAGAGTTTTTTTAGTGATATGGGTAACAAAGTATACAATTTTTTTTAATGTAGACTAGTTAGTGTGTGTGTGTGTGTGTGTGAGAGAGAGAGAGAGAGAGAGAGATTTATTTGTATACTTTAATTATATTGCGACATTAGATATTTTAGTGATTTCACTGTTGAAAAGATATTGTTGGGCCTCTCGATTTTACTTGGATTTTTTCTTAGAATTTTCAAATGATTCGGTTTTTTTGTATCTAAAATATTTTTTTAAACTAAAATAATAGGTGAAAATTACAAAGATAATTGGGGCCCTCTTTTTTCTGTGGCTCTAGGCGATTGCTTAGTTGGCCTATCTATTGGCCCGGCCCTGCATACACGTACAATAGTTATTTTTCGAACTTATACACGTATAATAGTTCAATTAAGCTGTCTCAATTGAAAATTTAGTTGGCGGGTGTGTGTGTGTGTGTGCGGGTGGGAGGGATTGTTTTTTTTTTTTGGGGGGTGGCTGGCAAAGTAGGTGGTGAGACAGTGTCCACTTCACTTAGAAATTGTGCATGCTGTCATAATGTATACTAAATGTTAGTTGCTGGTTAGTCTGCTTTCGAGTGGACTTGACCCTACCTCAATAGCTATACCTGCTGACATTTAAAAGAGGGAAACCCTTCCGGAGAAAAAATTTTGGTACTAATATATTATTTTTTATGGTAAAATTACAACTTTGAAAAGAAAAATTATAATTATTCAATGGAAGACTATGATCGATCATAAACACTTATGATTGATCATAAATTCTTAATATCGATCACAATCTTTCATGATCGATCAAATCATTTAAAATTGTACATCTCAAAAAAGTTGTAATTTAAGATAAAAAAAATTATCATTTTTAATATGATATCGCTGGCTGGCGATACCGTAACCTTTCCCTTTAAAAGTATCAAATTTTAGGGAAGATGATTCAACAAGTCTATCCTCTCGCCCATTCTTCAAATTCCCACACCCTTTTCTTTTTTGATTTCTAACATTCCTCTTCTCTTCTTTCTCTGACACTTTAATAAATTGGACTGTAGATGGAGCATGTTAGGATGGGTAGGATCTAAATATAAGAGCCGGGCAATGTTATTGGGATATAATTTATTGACCAAATTTATTGTGACCTTTGAATTTATTATAAACCCTATTAACCATTGAAACTTGATGTTAATCCAATAATTTCTGTGAAATTATATCATTATATCAATAAATTAGATCAAATTTTTAAGTTCAAATAATATTACTTCTAAGAGCCTCGTTTACTTAACATGAACAGTTGTGTCACCTAAAAAAGGCTATGATTTTATTCTTTTACCTTTTGCAGAGCACAATAGGATTGTGGAACTGTTTCAATTATTTACAGGCTACAACTACACTTTGCCAAAAGAAGAGGCCACTATCAAAGACATATATACCAGGTTAAATAGTAGATTCTTTCTGTCTTCAATTCTAATTTACGCTTAGAACCCTCTCCTCATATTGGACGAAATGATCAAGGAATACTCATAGACCCATCTACAATAACTTTGTACAAGAATCCACAAAGAAACGATCCAATTAAAGAAGGGAGTTATGTCTAAGTGAAACTTATAGAGAAAAGTCTTCTTTCGTTTTTGAAACTTAAAAAAATATAGTCTAATACACGATATTTTTGTCACCGTAAAATCTATGGGAGGTCGGGTATAGTGTGCACAATTTCATCCTGCATTATAAACGATTGATTATTTTCATGACTCAAATCCTGAGATGGATTGAGTAGCTATAAGACTAATATCTTGTTGCTAAAAAAAATCTGGTCTGAGAAAAGAGTCATTTCCAAAGCAGCGGTCAGCCTATAATCTGACCAATTCATGTGATCTGCTTCATAAAAATAGGCAAGATATTTCACTTACCCCTCTTTTTATCACTGCCCACATTGAAAATCTGTTGGTTTTGGGGGGCCCTAGTTAGCATTAAAAGCACAAAAGAAGTGGGTGTAAATTAAAAATTGGAGCCTTAAAGTCACTCCTCCTCGTACAACCACCTTGCCTTGTAGGAGCTGGAGTTTTCCTGAAGGGGGGCAAACATGAACATAAAGGTTCTGAAAGACAGATGACCTAACACCTATAGTCTCTTTCTTTTTATCTTGTTGCTACTGTCTTCTTGTTGACACTCATATCTGAGAGCACTAGTCTCTCTGGATGTGGTTCATGGGATTAAAATTAGGGTCCAACCGAAAAGCAGGCCATGTTTGGTTTTTCGAAAATTATTTTTGAAAAGAGTTTTAAAAAAATGTGTTTTAAAATTTTTATATTACAAAACCTGCTTAGTTATATGTTTTTGAAAATAATTTTAAAGAACAAAAAATAGTAAAACCTTTTTGTACAAACCCTCCACCCCAATTTTCATCTCCAGTAAAAAAAAAAAAATTCATCTCCAGTCCCATTGTCTTTCCCTCTTCTCTCCCCCCCCCCCCAAAACAAACACACAAATTATTTTAGTTAAAAGTTATCTAAATTATTTTTTATCTATTTTAAGTATTAAGTGACAAATTTATGATAAAAAAAACCTTTAATAATTTAAATATTGTCCGCTTGAGGAATCATATAAAAATATATTTAATAATTTAGGGACTAAAATAATAAAATTAAAATATTGGAGATTAAAATTAGATAAACTTTATACTTTGGGGACCTCTAGTACAAATTAACCCCTTTTTTTCGATTAATAGTTGCAAATCATCTAAAACAAAATCAGGAGATCAATTTCACTACAATACTGCAGCTATCTTCTCCCTAAAATTAAGGTTCCACATCCCTTATGCTATGTTTTCTTCCAATTTTCCTCAATATTAATCTAAATAAATTATTCGCTATGAATTCTAGTAAAACTCACACTGACCGTACAATATGGGTGTCATTTGAACACATGGAGAGATCAACTTGGGTTAGAGTTTAACCCGAGCCAAATTTAATTTGAACCTTTTCAACGAAATACGAACGATGCTTAAATTCTTGAACTTTGTTGTAACTTTGGGTGGATACAATCCTACACTTACATACAAAATCCATATTACCACTCTATATTAAAAGGTCTAACATGGGGACGCATTACCGCAGACCCAATGCTTCTCTTAAGGCAGGCAAAAGCCGAGAGACCCTCCACAATGGAGGATTCAAACTGGTTTGGTAGGCAGTCTTCACAAATATAAAGCACTGTGTTGCTGGTTGAAGAAACATGTACTCTATTTTTTAATAACACCTCTAATTTAATAAATTTTATATATGGACTGCATTATGGGAGTTGCCAACATGTGGTAATGTGCCAAGTCAAAGAGTTTCAACTATTTTTCCAATATTTAAGTTGAGTTTGGAGAGAAAATTCTAAATCAACTTAAATGTATGTAGTATGAGATTGATGTGTCTTGACTATGGCTTAAAGTTTCGTTTCGGAGCTATGTTTCGATTGTTTGAAAAATAGAAATGTTTCGAAAATATTTTAAAAACGTAATGGAAACCTTATATTTTTATGAAAACGAATGGACACCTTTAAAAGAAAGAGTTTATGTGTTAATCAAGTTCTTAATTCTTGTTTGTAACAATCAAATCTATTAGTTGGCAATCGGAGAATCTACTTTACAAGCAATTTTTGTGGTACCACTTGAATTTTCCCTTGAAGTTCTGTAATCTTTATTGAACCTGAGTTTTAATCTTAGAATTGAATTTAAAGGAAAATAGAGTTTTAATCTGAATTGTGTAACATAAAATCAATCCGAATTTAAAATATCTATAAAAGCATTACTCATATCGAAGATTGTATTGTTTGGATTAAGCTCCAATTGATTTCTCAATCAATTTAATCCGTTCAAGTTACACAACACTAATCATACGGGCTTGTTATCTCTTAAAAACATGATTTCATGAATTTCAACTTCTAATGATTGTTTTTAATATAATTTAGAACTTAAAAAATATTTCACATGTTACCCACCCTCATCACACGTACCACACCACCATCACCACCGCTTTTCCCCACCACTCATCACACCGTCGCTCAAAAGCACTCGTTGTTGCTCACCACAACCATCGTTACCACCTACCACCACAACCCATCACTGACATCGCCACCACCACCATTGCCAACCATATCATCGTCACTCACTACCACTATCGTTGTGACTCATAATTGCTACTGCCATGTATTGTCATCCAAAACACACCACCGTTATTATTGTTGCCACCCATGGTTGCCACCATCACCATGGTCGTCACCATCCACCATAACCATCACCATATCTCACCACCTGTATTATCGCTTGCTCCCACTATAATTAATACTTAAATTCATTTATTTCTCTTATATATTTGTGATTTGATTTTGAGTGTGAATATAAATATAATTATTATTGATCATTTTTTTTATTACTCTGTGCCTTTAGATACTGTGAATAACTAATATATATATATTGTGTAAATTTTGATAAGGTAAAGTGACAACATGCTTGTATTTTAAAGCAATACACACTTTCTAATAGTTGTTTGAATAAAGGTTAATAATGGGGTTTGTGACTTTTGCTAACACGCGCCGTGGTTGATGATTTTAATCCACTTTGAATAAGCATTTTCAATGGGATACAAAAGAGCCAACAAGTGAACAACCTTTTTTACATCTTAAACTACTAACACTTCATATTTCTTTATGTAAAAGGTCTAATTATGTGGGTTCACTTTTGCTTTTACATGGATAGATGTTAGTAGTTGGCATCTATATTAAATTTTTATCAAATGCTTATCATTTGATCTCTTAAGAACAAGAAGTAAAGGATGATCGAACAATAGTATTGTAGCATTGTTGTTGGTTAAGTATTAGAATAACATCTCAAGGGCTTTGCTTACTTGGGAAAAAAACACATCTCAAGGGTATAGAGGGGTTAAGATTCAAAATTTATTGATAAATATAATATCAAGTGGAGTGACGCAGTGCAATTTCTTTCAATATATTTTCTCTTTCTCTAAATACATGTTTTCTTCATTTTTCTCCCCGATAGTTTATTATTTTGAATTTAAGTGAGACTCTATTCTATATAAGCGAACCCTTCACTAATATGTGGCGTGAAATCTACCAAGAAAAAAATTAAAAGAAAAAAATATTAGAATAGATTTGCATCTTATAATAACAAATATAACATCATATTCTACTACCCAGAGAAGGAGGTAAAAGAAAATACCCAAGTTTTTGAGCAATTAGAAATACCGACATTTTTTTGTATTTTTCCCAATTATTTTCTTAAAAAAGAAAGTGTTGTGTTACCCAATCTTAATTTTTCTTTTAAAACTAGGAAAGGGTCTATATTCATAGATTATCTATAATTATTATCCGTTACTTCTTCTTGCATCGTAACTATCTTTTCATGAAATGTCACTACTATATTTTATATTTATTTAATATTAGTGCTAGAAAGTTAAATTATCAACTTATAAAAGCACAATATCAATTAAGATTGATCCAATTTTTATATATTTTAATCTAAAAGTATAAAATTTATCTCTAACTCTTGCTCTCTTACTTTTCTTTTTTTTTTTTCTCGATTCATTTTAATTTTAAATTCTGTAGTTAAAGAAAAGAGAAAAAATATATTATTATTTACACTATAAATATTATATGATTGTAAACCATTTTTCCTCCTTTCGATTCTCTCTTAATGTTTTGTTTGGTAGGGAGGATGAAAAGTAGGAGGAATACATTTTCTATCTTAGAACGATCAAAAGTAAGAAATATACACTTTCCTTATTTTGTGTTTGGTTGAATGGATGAAAAATAAAAATGACTATTTTTTTTTTTTGGTATTGACTAAAATTAGGGATGACTATATAGTCGAGTTGTGTCGTGTCAGATTTGTGTTAAATTATTACAAGTTTGCGTCGAATATTAGTCAAACATAACTTAACTTATTTAACTAATTGTGTCGTGTCGAGTTGTAAGTTGACCTATTTATTTTTGTATCGAGTTCAAGTCGTGTTATCGTGTTGAGTTGAAAATTTTTACCCTTAGTTAAGATGAAAAAAAAAATTAAATTTTTTTAATTTTTAATTTTTAATTTTTTTAAAAATTAATTTTTAAATTTTTTTAAAAAATATATACATATTTTACCATTGCATTTTTATATGAAATTAATGTATAGATAAGATATATAGATAAATAAAAATGCATCTCAATACAAATAATTAACTTTCCATTCACTTTCCTTTTGCTTTTGGAGGGATTGATTTTAGTAAGTTAGAAGGAAAGTTAATCCATCCATTTTTTCATCATTTCTATTTTTATTTTCTTACAAAATATGATGTTTTATTTATTTTTCTAATTTTTTATTTTTTTAATTTTTTATCTTCTTATTTTTTCATCGTACTAAACTTACGTAAAAACCACCACCATTATTAGCCGCGTACTTTTACTACAACATTTACATTGGTCAATGATTTTTTTAACGGTACAATGTATGTACAAACTATTTTAGTCAGCAGAATAATAAATCAACTGAGTTAACAGGGATACGCCGTGGAAAACAAACAATTTGTGGCCCACAACGTACGACTACTGTTCTTTCCCCCCCCCCTGTAACTTAAGTTTTATTATTATTATTATTATTATTTTTGAGGTGGGTGGATAGGCGGTTGGGGTTGGGGGCTGGAAGGTTAATTTTAATTAGTGCATAAAAGGGACAATGCATAAACAAACCGAAGAAACTGATACATCATGATGGATGCAGTTTAAGTTTGCATCACGTTATAATTTCTACAAGACATTTATTTAGGGTAAAATTTGAAAAATAAATTCTTGTAGGGTGTAAATTAAAAATTCAAAGTTCCATTAAACCCATATACTATCATTTGTTTTACTTACCAAAGGTAAAACGGGGCAAAATATCTAACAAAATGACAAATGTCGAAATACGACGTCGTGAAGTTCACTGTTGGCCCGCGCCATAACTTACCGTTACATTCAAGACTTTGAGGCAAATCTCGTAATTTTGCCGAAAGACAAGGACAGTTGCCACGCGTCACTCCCTTGACGCTCCTCATTGGAAAAACCAAAAAAATAGACGTTAGTGTTACGGCAAAAATTTAGGGGCAAGACTGAAAGAGTCGGGTCTGATTCAAACGGTGACGTGCCCTCATTTATTATTTTCATAAATTCTCTCCCTCCTCCTCCTCCTTAGTCCTTCCCTCTCCCTCTCTGTCTCTATCTATCTCTCTCTCTCTCTCTCTCTCTCTAAGCTTTCTGAAAACATTCATCTCTTACTGCACAGCGTTCAGATTTGAGAGGAACGANCCTCCTCCTTAGTCCTTCCCTCTCCCTCTCTGTCTCTATCTCTCTCTCTCTCTCTCTCTCTCTCTCTCTCTCAAAGCTTTCTGAAAACATTCATCTCTTACTGCACAGCGTTCAGATTTGAGAGGAACGAAAAGAGCTTCGGAGAGCGTCAAAAGGTCTGTGTTTTGCATTCGAACGATTCATATTCTCTTTTGCCTTTTCCTTTTGTATTTTACTGGTTTTGTATTTGAAGAATGTTAAGTTTAATTGTTTGATCTGAATGTGGCTTGTCCTTAAAGTTACGTATATGTGTGCGTGTGAATGTAGAGTTATATATCTATATATATGGCGATCTATAGAATTACACAGGTATCAATATACGCATATCTATGTTTTAACTGTTTTGTTTGCCTATTGGATCAGAAAATATGGAATTTTAGCTTTTTTTGTTTTTATTTTGCTCTGCTTTTAGTGATTTAATATCTTGATTTGATTTTATGTTCCAAATTTAAATAGCTGACTGCTTGTGACTTGTGAATCTTTGCTTTTCTTTTTCTTATTTTATATGAGGAGGATCTGTGGATATTTATTTTTCATTCTTTTTTCTCCTAATTTTCGTGGCCATTACCAGTTTTTGAGAGGGGAAGGGGAAAGACAGATAGTAACAATTTAAAATATAGTGTTTTGCTAAAAAAAAAAGAAGTAGATCATACTAAACTGTCAATGCAACAGAAGCAAATGATAACTTTGATGATTTCTGCAGGGATTGAAGGATCAAAACCATACTTTTTCTGCGTAATTCGACTCAGAAATATACAATTTATGTGAGGTTAATAGTGTTGGTGCTTCAGTGAAGTGTAGTTATTTTCAATCCATTTAAAGAAGATTAGATGCTTATTCTATCCAACTGATGATTGTAATGGTTGAGGAGTAAGACTTGTTAAGTTTGATGGTAGGAATGGCTGTTGCTGGCTTACATAATGTGTCTGCGCTTGACTCTTCTTTCCTTAGGGAGCCTCAGTCTCCGGTATCAAGGCAGTGGGGTAGTCAAGATAGTCCGAGCACCCAGGCATCCTCTCTCCTGCAGATGTGGCGGGAGCTCGAGGGTGAGCCTGTGGTGCATCATTCACATGTGAGGTTTGAAGAAAGGCCAATGCGTCAAAGGAGTGATGGGTCGAATGTTGACCTTGTGAGCACAGATTGGTCAGAAAGACAAGAGAGTGACAATGGGGAGGGCGGCTTGGAGGATGCCAATGATGTTGACAATGAGAGCAGAATATGTTCGCAAGGGCAAAGGGGATCCCAGAACGAAAATGAAGACAATTGCAGTTATACCTCAGAGCAGTCTGTTGATTTTGGTGAAGTGGAAAGGGATAGGGTGAGGCAAATTTTTCGGGAATGGAGGAACAGTGGTATAAGAGGCCATCCGCAGAATGCTTCTCGTTTGAACAACTGTTCAAGGGTACAGTGGCTTGGTGAAAATGAATGTGCGAGGGTTAGAATTGTAAGAGATTGGGTAGAAAGGACTAGCCAGCAGAGAGGCGTTTGTGGTGGCTGTAGAGAACAAGCTGCTGAAATTGGTGTTCAAATTGATCAAGTTCCTGATGGCTCGTTGGCTAATCATTTTGAACATGGTGCTCGGAGGGCCATCCGTAAATTACACGGCAGACAAGCTCTTCTTGATTTGTTAGCAAGGGCTGAGAGGGAAAGGAAAGGAGAACTACAGGGTTTACAAGAGAGTCGGCCTGTATCAAGTTTTGCTCATCGCAACCGCATTCAGGTTAGTTTTCTCATATGTTTCTTTATTTGTACAATTCTCTTACTTTGTGAGCTCTTTCATCCTTGGTTCCACCATAGTGTGTGGTCTCATTCCACGCACACCACAACCTCCACTACCAAAGCTTGATTTGTTTAACCAGTGTTTGTTTCCCTGGCATAATAACATAACCTTTCTATTCAGATGTTCTTGTTCTGGGTGACTATGCAGATAATACCGGATGTAAATTGTAGGAGGCTTACCATGACATTTTTTTGGGATAGTTTGTTTGTATGCAAGTCCAATATAGTTGCATTATAACCGTTATTTTTAGCTGTTTATAAGGCAGTGTCCACTTTTCACCAAGTTTCATTGCATTATCAATGTCAAAGTGAACCCTTAAAGCCGTATACCCAACCTTTGGGTCAGCTGAGCAAATCCTTTAATTTTTCTCAGTTTGCTTTACATAGTCTGAAAGATTGTATTCTTTAGGATTCATGTTAAATGTTTTGATTTCAGGTTTCGTGTTGTCTTTCTCCCTAAAGGGACCCTTGTTTCTTCTCTGGTCCAGGATTACAGAAAAGACTATTGTAGCTGTAACACAGAAAACGTTTTTAGACATGTGTTAAGAAGTATGTCCTTTAGCTGTTTTTTTTATGATTTTACTTGACAATTAAGTAGTTGAAGTAGACCGAAATACTTTGTGTGACCTAAATGGGGATCTTATTTTATACAAGTGCTGTGGTGTGGTATTTATTGTTAGGTATAGCTGTGACAAGATGACCTAGGCTGTTCGAAGACCTGCATTGTTATACAATGTAAATGAGGGGTCGTTTGTTTGGTCTGGTCATCTTGTCACAGCTATTCTGTTGTAGGTTTCTTTAGTATTTTTAGCTTAGAAAGAAATTGAATGGACATAGCCTTCAGTCAAAACAACCTAATGGAGGGCTAAGCCAGTTGGTTGAACTGAAGTAAGTTACATCTCTGGTTCATGGTTCAGGTTCACTTTAGGAAGGCAACCTAAAGGGTTGTGTTTAAATCTATGACATGGCAGCAGTACTCAGGCGTGCCAGACTAAATAAGAGTCCTAGGTTAGCATACTGTAAAACTAGTTGCAAGCGAACAGATAATACTCTGTATAAACTATCGTAAATAAGTCAGCTTATGTGGAAAGATTAGTGGATGGATGCATCACTATAATCATTTCGTTTCCTCTTTGGGAACTTTAGTTAATTAAATGTGCTTTTCTGAAAGTTCTAAGAGGTTTGAGTTTTCTTTTTCTCTCCCAAAATTCTGTGTGTTCTGAGATGGTTGTATTGTACACTATTTGCTATTCTTCTGTTGTGATTTCTGCACCTGAAGAATAATCAGTTTTTGCTTCCATTAATACCATGTTTCTCTTGCAGTCATTACTCAAGGGTAGGTTTTTGCGAAATGGAAGATTGATCCAGGATGAAAAAACTAAATCAGTGGCTGCAACTGAATTGGGTTTACTGAGGGAGAGGCAGACTGTGTCTGGTTTGAGGTATTTGGTTTTGCATGCATTATACTTTTTGTTCCTTGTTTTCCTTCTTCAGGTTTCGTTTTTCTGCATCACTATATACAGAAATTGATTAGGTTATGCTCTTTCTTTTTTCTTTTTTAATTTGTGCTTATTAGGCACTGTTGCTTTAGAAGGAACGACACGGGGAATTTGTGAGTTGTAGATGGCACAAGCAAAATTCATGTTATTGCTCCTCTTGCAATCTTTTAGAGCTGTTTGCTTNGTGGTCTCATTCCACGCACACCACAACCTCCACTACCAAAGCTTGATTTGTTTAACCAGTGTTTGTTTCCCTGGCATAATAACATAACCTTTCTATTCAGATGTTCTTGTTCTGGGTGACTATGCAGATAATACCGGATGTAAATTGTAGGAGGCTTACCATGACATTTTTTTGGGATAGTTTGTTTGTATGCAAGTCCAATATAGTTGCATTATAAGCGTTATTTTTAGCTGTTTATAAGGCAGTGTCCACTTTTCACCAAGTTTCATTGCATTATCAATGTCAAAGTGAACCCTTAAAGCCGTATACCCAACCTTTGGGTCAGCTGAGCAAATCCTTTAATTTTTCTCAGTTTGCTTTACATAGTCTGAAAGATTGTATTCTTTAGGATTCATGTTAAATGTTTTGATTTCAGGTTTCGTGTTGTCTTTCTCCCTAAAGGGACCCTTGTTTCTTCTCTGGTCCAGGATTACAGAAAAGACTATTGTAGCTGTAACACAGAAAACGTTTTTAGACATGTGTTAAGAAGTATGTCCTTTAGCTGTTTTTTTTATGATTTTACTTGACAATTAAGTAGTTGAAGTAGACCGAAATACTTTGTGTGACCTAAATGGGGATCTTATTTTATACAAGTGCTGTGGTGTGGTATTTATTGTTAGGTATAGCTGTGACAAGATGACCTAGGCTGTTCGAAGACCTGCATTGTTATACAATGTAAATGAGGGGTCGTTTGTTTGGTCTGGTCATCTTGTCACAGCTATTCTGTTGTAGGTTTCTTTAGTATTTTTAGCTTAGAAAGAAATTGAATGGACATAGCCTTCAGTCAAAACAACCTAATGGAGGGCTAAGCCAGTTGGTTGAACTGAAGTAAGTTACATCTCTGGTTCATGGTTCAGGTTCACTTTAGGAAGGCAACCTAAAGGGTTGTGTTTAAATCTATGACATGGCAGCAGTACTCAGGCGTGCCAGACTAAATAAGAGTCCTAGGTTAGCATACTGTAAAACTAGTTGCAAGCGAACAGATAATACTCTGTATAAACTATCGTAAATAAGTCAGCTTATGTGGAAAGATTAGTGGATGGATGCATCACTATAATCATTTCGTTTCCTCTTTGGGAACTTTAGTTAATTAAATGTGCTTTTCTGAAAGTTCTAAGAGGTTTGAGTTTTCTTTTTCTCTCCCAAAATTCTGTGTGTTCTGAGATGGTTGTATTGTACACTATTTGCTATTCTTCTGTTGTGATTTCTGCACCTGAAGAATAATCAGTTTTTGCTTCCATTAATACCATGTTTCTCTTGCAGTCATTACTCAAGGGTAGGTTTTTGCGAAATGGAAGATTGGTCCAGGATGAAAAAACTAAATCAGTGGCTGCAACTGAATTGGGTTTACTGAGGGAGAGGCAGACTGTGTCTGGTTTGAGGTATTTGGTTTTGCATGCATTATACTTTTTGTTCCTTGTTTTCCTTCTTCAGGTTTCGTTTTTCTGCATCACTATATACAGAGATTGATTAGGTTATGCTCTTTCTTTTTTCTTTTTTAATTTGTGCTTATTAGGCACTGTTGCTTTAGAAGGAACGACACGGGGAATTTGTGAGTTGTAGATGGCACAAGCAAAATTCATGTTATTGCTCCTCTTGCAATCTTTTAGAGCTGTTTGCTTAGTAGTTTGCCATTAGGGGTGTAATTTGGGCGAGCTAACCCGATATCAACCCGAACCCAACTTGAAAAAATTAAGACTTGGGCTAGGGTGGGTTGGGCTTAAGTCACAAAATTTCAACCCGAATTCAATTTGGACGGACCTCGGGTTGAGCCATTGGGTTCATGGATTGAACCCGAATATTAAAATCAGGCTCAACCCAATTTAATAATCGGGTTCAACCCGAACTAATACTAGATACATACAATTTTATCGTAGGGTTAATCTCAACCCAAGTCTGTGGCTCCTTATACCCTCGATCTCTCTCGGTCTCTCAGGCTCTCACTCTCACTCTCAGATCCCTCTCCCCTGTGCCTCCTCCCTCTCTCAACCTCCTACGTCAGAGTCTGAACCCTCAGCCCTCTTGCAGCCTCTTTTGTCTTCCTAAGAGTCTTAGCCCTCTCAGCTTCTTTGTCTTCGCCTCTAGTTGTGCAAGGATTCTGGTTGTATTTATTTGTGTTCTGTACGGTTGTAATTGCATTATCTCTCGCATTCAGTTCTTAATATTATGGTTTTTATATTAAAAACTTGATTGAAGTAATCCGAAATCAGCTCATAAAGTAACTCGAAATCACCCGAAATTGTTAAACCGAATTCAACGTGAGCCTGCCAGAATTAAACTCGGGTTGGGTTTCTAACTTAACCCGAGGTAGGTTTAAGGTTAAAGTTGAAGATTATATACTCCCGTCGTTCCTAAATATCTGTCGTTTTACCTCATTTTTTTTGTTCTACAATATCTGTCATTTTATGAAACCAAAGCATAATTAATATTTTTTCTTCCAAATTTACCCTTATCTCTGTTTTTCTATAAGTGCTTAATAAATTAAGTGTAGGATAAGTGCATTTCATATTCCTTTCCTTCCCAATACGTATTGAATAAGGGTATTTTAGTCTTGTGCAATTATTTTTTACTCATACTAGAGCTATTTAATAACTTTCTTAATCCCTGTGANTCAGCTCATAAAGTAACTCGAAATCACCCCGAAATTGTTAAACCGAATTCAACCTGAGCCTGCCAGAATTAAACTCGGGTTGGGTTTCTAACTTAACCTGAGGTAGGGTTAAGGTTAAAGTTGAAGATTATATACTCCCGTCGTTCCTAAATATCTGTCGTTTTACCTAATTTTTTTTGTTCTACAATATCTGTCATTTTATGAAACCAAAGCATAATTAATATTTTTTCTTCCAAATTGACCCTTATCTCTGTTTTTCTATAAGTGCTTAATAAATTAAGTGTAGGATAAGTGCATTTCATATTCCTTTCCTTCCCAATACGTATTGAATAAGGGTATTTTAGTCTTGTGCAATTATTTTTTCCTCATACTAGAGCTATTTAATAACTTTCTTAATCCCTGTGGAAAAACCTTAAACGATAGATATTTAGGAACGGAGGGAGTACTTAAGATTGGACTAAGNCTAGAGCTATTTAATAACTTTCTTAATCCCTGTGAAAAAACCTTAAACGATAGATATTTAGGAACGGAGGGAGTACTTAAGATTGGACTAAGGTTGACTGTCCAACCCGCCCGAGTTACACCCATATTTGCTATCCTGTTATTGTTTTGTTTTGATCCTCTTGCTTAGTTGCTTTGAAAACTACTTGCACAGAAATTTAAGGGGTAGTCAGATTGCTTGAAGGTGATATTGCCAACGTGCTGCTCCTTTGGGGTTCAGATTTTTTGTGTTCATGCTGTCACTGGACAGAGCAATTTTTATTTTGGCATTCTGGACAGGAAAAAATGAACAGGCATCCCAGGTTCCCAATAGGAATAGGACTATTGGCAACATTTTGTGTCCTCGTTGGGCTATCAGTAACTTTTTAGAGGATCGTACTGTATCTGGGTGTTGCCTGTTGTTAGATGACCATAGTTGCATTTCTCCACCATCTTCTTCTGCATTTCTCTTGTAGATTTGTATTTATTTCCCTGATCAATTCTATTTTCTGCTGGCCACTTACCAATCTGGATTGTTTTCAGAAATTCCAGGAGTTTTATGTGAGCAGTAGTTGGCCTTAACAATGCTTTCTCAACAAAATTATTTTCACAGATATTTGAATATAAAATGAGCTGCTTTTCTAAAGATAGCTACTTCATTCTATGAATCTATATTCAAGCTACAACTTTTTGCTGTCACTACCGAGGACATATTATATGTATTATGTTCATATAAGTATTTAATGAGCTGATTGGTGTCCCTATAATTATCTCTACTCTATTTCTTTATAAGGCTGCTGAGATGAGGCCAAGTGAGAGGTAGGATAGACAAAGATCGACAGTGTAAGAAGCTTGTGTGTGAAGCAAACCTGAATTGACCAGGAAAAGATTTGCCTGGATTTGATTGAGATCGTCTGGTTAATGTGAGCTTTATGATCTTGATGCTTATTTCTTCTTGTTATGGGACTGTTTTGGCAGTGCTGCTGAAGGTGAGTCCTCGGCATGCGGGATAGTTGAAGAGGACAAAGGGAAAATTGAGAGAAAAAAACTAATTTCATATTACCAGAAAAGATTTGAAACGCATAGGCATACAGGACAAATATAATATAAACCATTCATAAGCTATGATTTTAAACAATCTGATTGTATTAACCAGACCACCAGTGAAAGCATGAAGCAAAGCTACACAGCCTCAACGACTAATAACTTTCCTTTGGATTGGGTTAAACTTTTGATTAACATGGCAAAGATGGCCTTGGGTTTAACAAGATTCTCAGTAAGGAATCTTGCTATCTCCCTAACTAATAAGCTTTCCTATTTTGTTTTTGGACTTTTTCATTACTTTGGAAACTTTTCATGTGATATTATCGTAACAATTTCCTGAAACAGGGAAGGATTTCTCTCCAGATTGGATGATTTTATTCGTGGCCCAGAGACTAGTACCCAGTTTGATCCCTCTTCAAATGATGAGAGAGGTAATCACAGAAATGAACAATCTCAAGCAAACAATATTCAGCTCGTAGATCAATCTCTGCATTCTAATAACGAAAGCGAGATCAATGGATTTCATGTGAATGAGTTAATAAGTGACACGTGTGGAGACTTAAGTCGTCAAGAATCCAGTAGTCAAGTGCAAGAAACACCAGAGCAAAATGAAGGTAGACATCAACAACAGTCATTGGATTTTGACACAGTCCGAGTAGAAGATACATGGGAAGAAGTTCTAGAAAGTGAGGTAACAGAGCAACACTGGTCTTCCGATGTTGTGCGTGGTGGGTGGACAGAAGCTAGTGGGAGTGATTTTGTTGAAAACTGGCAGGACAATATTGCTAATGAATCATCACAAGAAACTTTGGTTGTTGAAGGCAATGGACAAGATCAGCTGCTAGAAGCCCATGAAGCTTTTCGAGAACGGTATGAGCCAGGTGGCAGGGAAAGTGATGTCCATAGGTTATTTGGCAATACTGATGGTTTAGGAGGAGACTATGTTGGGGATTTTAATTGGCAAGACACCTTTGCTCAGGTAGCACAGTGGCAGGAATCATCACTAGAAAATGAAGAAAGTGACTGGCAACAGGTAGCCAGTGTTGAACTGAATGAGCGAGCAGACAGTACTACAGAAGACAGATATGGAAATTGGCAGCAAAGTTCTGCTGATCAGTGGTACCAGGAAACACCTGGGAATGATGATGGAGAGCACAGTCAATTGCAAGTATCGCAGGAAGTATTGCATGAAAATAGTCTAGAGGAGGCTTTGCAAGAATCTCAGGAAGCATTGGATGAAAATAGTCAGGATGGCACTCGGGTCGGAAGGTTTGATGCATTTTATTACACTGATGATGATAATGCAAATAATACAGAACTTAGAGAACTTCTAAGAAGGTATATGATCTCGTTAAAAAGGCCTTAAGCATTTCGTGATTCAAATTGACAAAATTAATGAGCTTTTCTGAAACTCTTTCTTTGGGTTTGACAGGAGGAGAGTTTCTAATCTTCTTCGAAGTGGATTCCNACTTCTAAGAAGGTATATGATCTCGTTAAAAAGGCCTTAAGCATTTCGTGATTCAAATTGACAAAATTAATGAGCTTTTCTGATACTCTTTCTTTGGGTTTGACAGGAGGAGAGTTTCTAATCTTCTTCGAAGTGGATTCCGTGCAAATCTAGACCAGCTAATACAATCTTACGTAGAAAGGCAAGCTCAGGCTTCCATTGACTGGGAGCTGGACAGATCACCATCTCATGTCTTGTTAGAGCAAGATCAGCATAATGTAGATCAGAATGCAGTTCAGTCGGATGCCATTGAGACAACTCCAGTTGTTCTCCCTTCGCCACCAGTCACCCCTTCTCTGCCACTTCGGGACCAAGAGTGGCACTATGCTACTTGGCCACACCACAACATGAATCAGGGCCCAGGGATTGTGCGTATATCTTTCCTCATTGAAATTTGCAACTGGCTGACAGCACTTTTTTTTTTCTGGCTAACAGCACTCGGTTTTAATATTGAAGCTGGAACAGCATCAATGAATCTTCTATATTTTAATCTTATGAGTCATTCTATAGTGTGTAAACTGTGAACATATAAACAAGTACCAGAGGCTTAGTATCTGATATAATTTTAACCGGCAAAATTTAGTATCATTTTCACTTCCAGTTGGTTTAGGCCTCCAATGATGAAGCCTTCAATGAACCTATCTGAACATAAATTCTCATCCTTCATTCTTTGTTTTAACGAATATCATTGCTCATTTTGGGGCAGGAGTGGGAGATCATAAACTATTTGAGGATAGACATTGATAGGCTGCAGCAAAGGATGGATAATATGCAGAGGATTCTGGAGGCCTGCATGGATATGCAGCTTGAGTTGCAGCGCTCAGTACGCCAAGAAGTTTCTGCAGCTCTGAATCGATCCACTGGCTCGACAGGTTTGTCCCACAAGGTCGAGGGTGTTGGTTCATTTTTTTTGGTTCACGTGTTTTTAGTTGTTTTTTCTTCTGTCTTTCACATGTTTCTTTTTTTATGAAGAAATTTGTGTGTGGGTATCTATATACTGATCTTGTTTCGTTGGATGAATTTGCTAACATGTGTGCAATCAATTCAATGACCAAGTGATTCATTCAGATCTAAACGTTGACCATATTGGGTCACTTATTTGATGCAGATGCATTTGAGGACAGTTCACTGAATGATGAATCTAAGTGGGATCACGTGAGGAAAGGAATTTGCTGTATATGTTGTGATGGCAAGATAGATTCTTTACTTTACAGGTACAAAATATGGCAAACTTGCAAGCCTGGATGATATATATCTGTATGCGCATGTACAAATAACGATTCACTATATTTGCTCCTGATAATGATCCGTTCTATTTTGTTGACAATGGGCATTCTGTTTATACAGGTGTGGGCACATGTGCACATGCTCAAAATGTGCAGACAAATTGGTCCAAGGCAGAGGGAAGTGTCCAATGTGTAAGGCACCGATAGTTGAGGCTGTCCGTGCTTATTCTATACAGTAGCAGAAAGAAAAAGAGAATAAAGAAAAGAAAAAGGAAAACCAGAAAGAAGAAATATAGGAAAGAAAACAGAAGCGAAGGCTAGAATAAAAGACTGCTTGTCCAATTCCTAGGGGCCCTTCAGGTAATTATTTTTCATATACGAACGAGTTGATTCATTTTGCAATGATCTCTACAATTTTGTGTTGACTGTATAATTGGAACAACAGATGGTGCAACTGATTCATTGTTCAAAATCAGAATAGACTGTTGAGTGGATTTTTCGTCCAATTACTCCCTAAGTACCGATAGCTATTTTCATTGGTACCAGCAGAAAATCTCATACAAAACCGGTTGGAAAGATGTTACTTTCTCTGGATTTTATGTTTGAAAACTGATATTGATGCAATCATACATTACGGAGTGTAACATCTTTAACCTTTGACGGAGTCTTGTACTGAAGGTTTGTATTGTCGAAAAAGTGGAGACCCCCTTCTGGCAGTCATATATTATACTCTCCAGCACATATCAAATGGTTTTTGAGTATTTGGGGGTGCTGTGAGCGGCCTGTACTGTACTATGGAACTTTCCCAGTCGTCCTTCTGTTTACTGGTCACACGGAATGATCCCCTTTTAAGGTATTTGCATCATTGTTGATTATATGGGAGAAATGTTACAAAACTTGTGGTTCTAGTGTGGTGATTACACATAAAAAGGAGAAAATATTAAATGTAATTACGACACTAACTCATTATTTTTATTTAAGTTAACAGCCACCCATGTAAAGTACTATGGGTCACCTTACTCATCTAGTTGTGTTGTTATTGGATGATGATACTATATGACGACGACGACGTTTAGTTACTGTTATATATTCTTTTTTGGTGCGTAAAATAGATATGACTAATTTCAACTTGTACTTCGAAAGATCACTTGAATCTTAATTTACGCCATCAAAATTTAAAAATATTAATTTACTCACTAAAATATATAAATACGTATCAATGTGCATAGTCTATTTTATCATTAAAAAAGTTTAAGTTAATTACAAATTATACCCTTCAAAGTTTAAATACTTTACATTAATGATTCAAAAAAAATTATATCCGTTAATGCTCGTTAAATAGTCCTCAATTGTATCGTGTCATAACATTTTCGTGTCATAACATTTTCGTGTCATGTTCGAGTCGATAAAAAATATTTTTAACACAAAAAATATTTTTGAGTCGAGTCAATTTCATTGTGTCATATATTTCACATTTTCAAAAATTCATATAATACTGTTTAATAATTGTTTAAAATTAAAAAATACTAATTTTTTTTACCTATAATACTCGTTAAATAATTATTTTTTGTCTACAATTCTGTTATTCGTATCGAACTTTAATTGGATAAATTACACTAATAGTCCCTAAGATTTATCGTTAGTTATACTTTGATTCTCAAAGTTTTGTTTTTGTCAATTTGATTCTTAAAGTTTACGCATTCGACCATTATGGTCTTTGACACTAACCATGACACTAACCACTGTCTAAAAAAAGAGACGAAAAATATAATATGCCTGGCACACGACAGTTTTGACGGGTATTTTTGGTATTTCACGTCAATAACTATCTCCAAACACCACTATCCCTTATTTGACCGACATTAAACATGGTACCAAGCACACATCTTCACCTGACTCCCTCNATCAGAATAGACTGTTGAGTGGATTTTTCGTCCAATTACTCCCTAAGTACCGATAGCTATTTTCATTGGTACCAGCAGAAAATCTCATACAAAACCGGTTGGAAAGATGTTACATTCTCTGGATTTTATGTTTGAAAACTGATATTGATGCAATCATACATTACGGAGTGTAACATCTTTAACCTTTGACGGAGTCTTGTACTGAAGGTTTGTATTGTCGAAAAAGTGGAGACCCCCTTCTGNTCCCCGTAAATACACAATGTTTCTATCTCTCTCTCTCTATCTCACTCAAACACAGAAATACACAAACAACAACAATGTAATCACACCTGTTAGAGTATGTGTGACTCATATTTACTGTGTGCATAATGGTAAGGAGGCAGTGTTGGCATCTGCCTTGCGGGATTTGTATAAAGGGGACGCTGATTAGTTGGGGGTGCGGGGGCAACGTCCCCGCGGTATGGTACAGGGGTATTTTTGTAAATACGTCCGTATTAGAGTTATATAAATACTTAAGATGTAACCCTACTTTGAATAATGAAAAAGAACGGCCGCTCGCTCTCGTGGATGTAGGCACATTGCTGAACCACGTAAATCTCTGTGTGTTATTTTCTCTTGCTTTCTTAATTGTTTGATTCCTTACTATTCACCATAATTGCTGCACGATCACAACAACACCAATACCTGATTTGCTACAGCTCCCATGTACAATCAAGCACCACTTCATGACACCGGCCAGACATTGCTTACTCAGATTCGATATCGCGATTCCAAATTTGAATTGATTAAGAATTAGTTCAGGATTTTGATTCCATATTTGAAAAAATTCTCTATGGATCTCTATTTGTCTCCCTCCTAATTCCCTGAATTTTGCTTGGGCATATGAGAATTGATGGTTTTGGGTTGCGGTGGAGAAGGGAGGGGGGGTAGTGTGTTACGAGCTGGGGTGGGCTAACTGTTGGGGAGAAATTTGCTTGAGCCAATTGTTGAGGAGATGAACAGGGTTTAGGCAGTGGAGGGCTTGATGGAGTGGTGGCAACCGTGTGGAGAGTTACAGGGGCAGTTAAGGTTAGGTTTTTGTGTGAGGCGTTGAGAGAGACGGAGAGAGAATGGTGATGGATGTCATAGAGTGAGACAGAGGACAGTGGTGATGGTAGTTATCAGCGGTGGCAGATGGATAGAGGTGGAGAGACACACATAGAGACAGGGGTGGTCGCCGATTGTTAGGGATGATCGCNTTCTCTGGATTTTATGTTTGAAAACTGATATTGATGCAATCATACATTACGGAGTGTAACATCTTTAACCTTTGACGGAGTCTTGTACTGAAGGTTTGTATTGTCGAAAAAGTGGAGACCCCCTTCTGGCATTCATATATTGTACTCTCCAGCACATATCAAATGGTTTTTGAGTATTTGGGGGTGCTGTGAGCGGCCTGTACTGTACTATGGAACTTTCCCAGTCGTCCTTCTGTTTACTGGTCACACGGAATGATCCCCTTTTAAGGTATTTGCATCATTGTTGATTATATGGGAGAAATGTTACAAAACTTGTGGTTCTAGTGTGGTGATTACACATAAAAAGGAGAAAATATTAAATGTAATTACGACACTAACTCATTATTTTCATTTAAGTTAATAGCCACCCATGTAAAGTACTATGGGTCACCTTACTCATCTAGTTGTGTTGTTATTGGATAATGATACTATATGACAACGACGACGTTTAGTTACCGTTATATATTCTTTTTTGGTGTGTAAAATAGATATGACTAATTTCAACTTGTACTTCGAAAGATCACTTGAATATTAATTTACGCCATCAAAATTTAAAAATATTAATTTACTCACTAAAATATATAAATANTAAAGTGGAGACCCCCTTCTGGCAGTCATATATTATACTCTCCAGCACATATCAAATGGTTTTTGAGTATTTGGGGGTGCTGTGAGCGGCCTGTACTGTACTATGGAACTTTCCCAGTCGTCCTTCTGTTTACTGGTCACACGGAATGATCCCCTTTTAAGGTATTTGCATCATTGTTGATTATATGGGAGAAATGTTACAAAACTTGTGGTTCTAGTGTGGTGATTACACATAAAAAGGAGAAAATATTAAATGTAATTACGACACTAACTCATTATTTTTATTTAAGTTAACAGCCACCCATGTAAAGTACTATGGGTCACCTTACTCATCTAGTTGTGTTGTTATTGGATGATGATACTATATGACGACGACGACGTTTAGTTACTGTTATATATTCTTTTTTGGTGCGTAAAATAGATATGACTAATTTCAACTTGTACTTCGAAAGATCACTTGAATCTTAATTTACGCCATCAAAATTTAAAAATATTAATTTACTCACTAAAATATATAAATACGTATCAATGTGCATAGTCTATTTTATCATTAAAAAAGTTTAAGTTAATTACAAATTACACTCTTCAAAGTTTAAATACTTGACATTAATGATTCAAAAAAAATTATATCCGTTAATGCTCGTTAAATAGCCCTCAATTGTATCGTGTCATAACATTTTCGTGTCATGTTCGAGTCGATAAAAAATATTTTTAACACAAAAAATATTTTTGAGTTGAGTCAATTTCGTTGTGTCATATATTTCACATTTTCAAAAATTCATATAATACTGTTTAATAATTGTTTAAAATTAAAAAATACTTATTTTTTTACCTATAATACTCGTTAAATAATTATTTTTTGTTTACAATTCTGTTATTCGTATCGAACTTTAATTGGATAAATTACACTAATAGTCCCTAAGATTTATCGTTAGTTATACTTTGATTTTCAAAGTTTTGTTTTTGTCAATTTGATCCTTAAAGTTTACGCATTCGACCATTATGGTCTTTGACACTAACCATGACACTAACCACCGTCTAAAAATAGAGACGAAATATATAATATGCCTGGCACACGACAGTTTTGACGGGTATTTTTGGTATTTCACGTCAATAACTATCTCCAAATACCACTATCCCTTATTTGACCGACATTAAACATGGTACCAAGCACACATCTTCACCTGACTCCCTCTTTTCTTCTTTTCTCACTCACAGAGGCATCTCACTGCATCATTCTATGTCCCTCTCAAACAGTATTCCCCCAAAAAAGGCACACACCATCTCTCTCTTTACGTTTTGAGCATTTGCACACACACACACACAACACACCCACAAAAAAGCACGCACATACCAACACTTCCCCGCAAATACACAATTTTTCGATCTCTCTCCCTCTCTCTCTCTCACTCAAACACAGAAAATACACAAACAACAACAATGTAATCACACCTGTTAGAGTATGTGTAG